CCCCACCCTACCCTACACTACCCATCCTACCCGACCTGGCCTGCCCCACCCCACGCTGTCCCTGCCAACTCCGCGCCAACTACTGTCGTGCCGCTCGAACACGTTTGCGTGCCACATGGTGCGTTGCAAGGGTTGTTAGTGCTGGATACAGAGTTGGTAAGGTATCTTGTGCGTAAAATGAGGCTTTTTATTTTTTTTGGCGCGCAGACTCTGCCTAACGACGCGACACTAGTGCAAATTGAGGCCATGCAGGGGTTGGTAGAGTGGCAATGTAGCGACGCGTCCTGCCTAGATTTCCCTGTCAAATCAGACATCTTGTTCGCTGTACACTGGTCGTCGTGTTTTGGTGAATCGACGAGTATGTTGCATCATGGGTACTATTTACCTGCTACTTAATTGAGCGTTTTGGATGGCAGAACAGCCTCTCGAGTGGTGCTTCTTCCTGTTACTCTGTGCGCGGTTTCTTTGGCCATCTGTCAAGCGCTACTGCTTCCTACTGGTAGCGCACCGCATCTCATCATCTCGCCATGTTTTGTCGCGGATGTACAGTATTGTGAAAGTGATGGACTAAGCGCAGGTTTCCATCTATCGGGTCCGATCTTGTCAGAATCTTGTCAGTTGTGCAGCACGGACATTCATACAGGTCCCTTGACATCAAGACTGCGCATCTGGCTCGGATCCTTCCCACAGTTCGTTGCAAACTATCGCAATGGGCTCCTAAACTTAAACAGTGTGCCCTGCTTCGGTGGCTTCCTTTTCGCGGGATGCATGTGTCTGTGTGTGTGTGTGTGCGCATCGCAATGATTTGCAACACTTTGCGCAAACCGGCGCATGTCTGCGGCGAGTGTAACTATATCAATTGACCACGAGTGACTTCGGTGCACTTTGACGTCATGCAGGTGGGGCAGAGCCTTCGACCATCCACTAACCAACGAAGACGGCGGAGAGACGGGGTAAAATGGCTGTGACTGCTAAATCTGCTAAAACACAGAGAAAAGCGCTCAACAGAAACGGCTCCACGACGGCCGCTACTAGAACACGGCCACTTGCAGCCACTCAGGATCAGTGTCCGATTAAGGAACATCAAGAGCAGGATGGTGAAAACGAAATCACACACAATGACGCAACTCTGGCACTCGAAGCGCGTTTGTCTATCTGTTTGTTTGTTTGCGTCTGTGTTTCAGCGCGTGGTTGTGTTTGTAAAATGATTGCTTGAGCGCCGACTATCGGCCAGATAAAAACATCTACCATGGTGGCCAGGGTAGGTTTCTTTATCGTACCTTCCCCTATGGCCGATGGTTTATGGCGCAGCTCACAGCCGTGAACTGCAACTGAAATCTCAGCCACAAACCTGAAAGGTACCATAACGCAAGGTTTTTGTAGCGAAGGACGTGCTTGCGCTTGAGTATAGGAATCCCATCGTTTGCCAAGTAGGGCTGCTTGCGACAGTGCCGGCGGTACAAATGCATATTTGCCTTGCTTGCAGCACCTTTTCATGGCCGCGGACGAAGACCGCTCTGGGGAGATGAGTGGTGCCCTCAGGCCCTCAGGCTTTCGCTATCTTTTGGGTTTCTGTTGGCTGGTGCTGTTGGGACAAGGAGAGTTTGCGAGGCATGCGGTGTCCATGAGTTCGTGGTATTCGTAGGCCTTGTGCTGCGCTGGCGTTGGGCTTATCAACTGCAGCAACAGAATCTAGTGCTTGCATTGCAGGCTTTCTGGGCTTGGGTTGATGCCAGGTTCCTCGTAGTACTGATTTCGATCCGCTCGGCTTTTTTACTGGTATCTTATTGCACTCTTATGTTTATGCCATCCTTATCTTCCGTAAAGAAGCAACGATGCAAAGCCCCTCCAGAAGCTGAATCAGCGGGAAGATGTTGTGGTGCAACTGGCCTCGCTGACATGCATCACGAGCATGTCACAAGACCTCCCGGAGTGACTTACGATGGAGCAAACGGGGGGCCAGAAAGCAGCGAACTCAGGGGTGGCATGCTTGAGCGATGTCTCCGTTGTCTGCACGCGCATCCTCTCGGAGCGGGGTGTGTGTGTGTGTGTGTATCTGTGTGTCTGCGTCATGGAAACTTCTCGTGGTCAGTGGCGTGTGCTCAATCGGACAGACTGCAGTAACCATGAAGTAGTGTCATGTGTCGGTCAGGTGTCACTTCTGTAGGGTTCAGATCACTTTGTGCACATCTCTTCAGTCTGCAAACTTGGCATCAGGGCAGACCTCAGCATTTTGAAGTAAATTTGGTGTGAGCTGAATGGTCTTGCAGGTACGTCCTGAGGCCAGCGTTTGCCAGCGGATTGGTTCTTGTCTCTTGAATGTGGGTTGGTCTGTGAAATGAGGCTGCTATAAGGTGCAGGTGGGTGAGTCTGTGAAATTCAGTGCTTCTGCGAAAAAAGCCTGCTGAGCTTCCGTTGTTCATGGCCTGCGTCTCAAATGCAGGAGGAGCTTGGAAAATTCGAAGAATTTGAACCACACCGTCTCATCATTTCTTCTAAGGCATCTCTGCATAACGAAAGCAATCACAGACTCCAACGTTGTGCGATTCCTCGGTGTCGTGGAGTTCACAACGGGATTCTGAGTTGTATCGCGAATTCTGTTGATGTGACGAGTGAGACTGAGAGGCTGATCTTCGCATGCCTATGCTCCAAGGCGGACCGGGCACAATGGCTCGAACATCTGGATTTCAATCAACATCGAACGGTTGAATATCGATCTTGGGTGTAGCCCCGGCCCACTGACAGTCGGAATTCACTTAGAGCGAAAAGCACAAGAATATAAGCCTGACTGGTGTTATCTGTTTGGGGCCTCCATCGCTCGTAACCCCACCTAGCACTACATCCTGGGACCCCTTCCTCGTTCATGCCCTTCCCTCTGCCACCCTAGTGCATAGCCCACCACCAGCAGCACGGGCACCAGCACCAGAACCGCCTCCGGCAGCAGCAGCAGCAGCGGCAGCAGGACCGTGCGAGGAACAAACTAGGAAGTACAAACCACACAACTAGAGCGGGAAAACCAGCAGCAGAAAATTAGCACCAGAACGAGCACAATTTGGAAGCAAACCCACAATACTAGAGCAGAATTACAGCGCCAACAGCACAACTTGGAAGCACAAACATAGCACCAGAAGGAGCACAAACTCCATATCCAGGATTACGTGGAATTTTGAAACAACCCACCCTTGAGTACTAAACTTGGTCGACCTGCCCGGACCCAGCCCGGCCGAGCCCCGAACCATCTGAAAAACTGCCCCGCCCTGCAGCCTCCACCCTTGTGAAAAACTGCAGCCGGCAAAACGCAATCTGCAAGACAGAAGGAACGCCAGACGAGGGAAAAACCCCTCAGAACCCATGCACAAGACTGGAGCAACTCGAAATTAAATATGCTTCCGTGCTGTATTCTTATAGAGTTTCTTATAGTATATACGTCCGTATACATGCGCCCCTGCCGTCGAGCCTCAGGTTGGGGGCCAGGGTCCAGGCCGAGGGTTTTCAGAATTTGGTGCGAAGATTTCGGATTTAGGCCTCAGGGTTTGGGATTCAAGTTGCGAAAACTAGCTCTGTGGAGCTTGCGGGAGTTGTCGTTTACCATTCACTTAGGTAATAGAGATCTAAATCAACAAAGCACGCAGGATCTTATCTGGTCCGTTCTCCGCAACATTGAACAAGGTGGGGGGGCCCCCTACCTTTGGTCCCCCCCCCACCATAAGCTCTGTTGCGCAACATAAGCAACATGGCCAAGTTGCGCTTTGTGTTGCATGGCCGAGTCTACATGGCCGAGTCGGCCTACGTCACGTTTGACCTCAAGCAATTAGCTAAGTTGCCATCAGGACAGATTACATTCGCATGTGGCGCAGTTGCCACTTCAGGGCCAAGAGCCGTGCGTGGAAGCATTGAAGCCTGCGCACCTAACATGCTATGTTCGAGACCAAGCCCATCGAGACCAGGCCCATCAAAAAAGCTTCAACAATCTAACTTAATGGAACAAATATCTGCAACATTTGGAAGCAAACCTGCATGGACTGCATGAGTTCCAGCTTCGCGCGGGCTGCGCGGCCTCAGTGGCGGTCAGCTGTGTTGCAGTCCTCTGCTCTAGCTTTCGTAGCCCGCTTCTCAAGTTTTGGTTCGTAACTCGTAGGGTCTAGGATGAAGGTTTAAGCCAGGATGATTCTAGGATAATTGCAAAATGGCTTTATGAGCTTATGCTTTCTGTTCTGCCCCTCGTTCTGCCCACTGTTAGTGAGCAACGGCTACTCACAATATCAATCGACCTCTCAGACATGCGTTCAATTACTGGTGGAGCTTCCCTTCAGTTATGCTTTCAGTGGTTTTGACTAGGTTAGGTGTTCATCACAGAGTCCAGAACCCATTGATTGGTTGCCTTTTGCCAGTCCACAAACGGTCGTTGCCATTGAAACGCAAGATTGAGAAAGGCATGATTTGAGCCGTCCGACTCCGTGCCTTTGACTGGAACTGCTCTTGTCTTTCGGAACGGGAAAGCTGTTCGCACAACGAGGTTTAGACGAGTTTCGACAAGCTCTGCGAAAACCCTGGTTTCAAAGGCAGGTGCAAGAGCGTGAAAGCCTGTCAGCATGATTGCACGGGAAAGGCTTCTCTGCGGAGATAAACCTGGCCAGGTCGTTTTCACTATTAGGTGTCCAACCACATCAAGCAGAGGCTCCGCAGCTTCAGACCGCGAGTCGCAAAGATGCTTTCTTTTGGACCAGGTCGTCTTTAAGAAAATGAACACAGCCAACGCAGAGGCTCGGGAGTTTTGCACTTGCCATTGTTGTTCGTCGTTCGTTCTTTTCTGAATATTTTTGTTGTAAGGCAGCGCACCCCTGTGGTTCAACAACACAATTGCTTTGAAGCTCCATTGCGTACGTGTCTGTCGCACTGAAGTACGAGAAAGTCATCTGGATATCCAATCAATGCACCGCGTCACAAGAGTTCTCCCACGAGAATTAGGCACGCTTGATCTCTATGTCACTATGTGGCCGCGAGGCTAGGGTTCGCAGTGAATCTGTGAAGTGATATTTGGTGGCAATAATTGCTGCATCCATTGCTGACGCAACAGCTGCCACAGCAGCAGCAAATTCACAACTCCCATCCTGCGGTTTGCCAGAGTCCGCACAAAGATTTTGAGATGCCCCTGGTTTTCAGCAAGGAGCTATCAACTGTATCGCAAGGAGACACTCTTGGCAGTCATGCGTTGCTTTTCACAACGATGCAGAACACTGCCGGATATGTCTTCAACATTCACATTGTCACGTTGGCACCACGACCCTTACAGCGTGCTCGTGGGGTCGTGCATTACTTTACAGTCGTCCTGGTGTGTTTCATATTCTTGCATGCTGGCATCAACAACGTCGATACCATGATAACTAGCTCGAAATTTAGAGGTCGACCAGCGCTACTAGGCCACGGCGCACCGCTGCCCCTCACGTTTCCTTCTCTCTCAGAGCACAGCCGCAAGTTCGCAGTCCCCGCCTGTCGGCTACCATAGCAAGCCATAACCGCGCAACAGTCCATGACCTTTGTTTGATCTGGCTGTTTCGTCCGCACATCCAGACGGCGACTGCAGGGTGGAACGTGCGGCAAGAATTGTGCGCACACTGCATGTGAAGGGCAGTAGGAAACAGCCAGGTCCCCACATTAAAGCAAATCGCGAATCGCTGGTGTTTGGATCTACCACTTATCCTGAACTGTTCTTGATCCTCATGTCGTGTTGATCTGGGTTCATCCTCCGGATATAGATCCTGTGCCAGAAGCCTCTGTGCGGTTGCATCTGTCGTGCATCCCAGCACGTAGGATCCGCTTCTGCTCCCGAGTGAAGGTAATGGGATAAACACCGGCATGCTGCCGCAGATGAAATTGCCAGGAGATTAGCATCTCGGACTTCATGCAGGGCCTCGAAAGCCTGTTGGGAACAGACCTGGACGGACCTCCTCGTGATCTTGATGTGTCCCTGTGTCTTGGCATAGCTTAGTGGCCCCCTGATCGTTTAGCAACATGCCGGGGAGGACAAAAAGTAGGTATGTCTAACTCAGCCTTAGTTCAGCTTTATCAGCAGGTTAGTGCTCAATATCGGAAAGCGCGAGAGCGTCACAGTATCAAGCAAGAATACAGCTTCTCAAATCTGTGTTTTTTGTGAACTCGTGCGTTCTGTGTTGCTGCAAATCGCTTGCCATCGATCGTCACAATTTCAAAAGACAAACATAAACACCACACCTTGCTGCTCAGAAAAACTAGATCACAGTTAGCCGTGGGAGTTTCAGGTTGCAGGGGCACATATTGGGTACAGTACCGAGACTAGCTACAGGAGCAGAAGCGACCACATCTGAGATTGCCAACACAGCAAGTAGCGATCTGGTGACGGCAAAGTCTAGCAGTCCAGCTTTCAGGATAACAGCAACTACAAGCAAGATCAAGCAAGCTACTGCTCCTCTCTATCAAAGAGGTTGGTCAGTGCGTTGCTTCAGATCATGAGCTCTCACTCCTGCGCTGCACGGAACCCAAGCATTAATCAAAGCCATGCAGGTTTGCGTCCAGCCCAAATGACGAGTAGTGGCTCCAGGCAGTATGTACTTTTTACTTTCTTGTGCATGCGGTGACAATATGGGTTGAGGTGTGCTGAGGTGTTACAGCGCCCCTCTTGATGTTGCAGAGCAGTGCGAAGACCAAGGCTGAGCTCCCGATTCAAGGCCGGCCGGGAATGTCGCTGGCATTGATGCGAGCCGCACGCGTTCTCGCCACCTTGATCCCTAAGGCTAACGGATACTTGTCTTAGGGTCAACGGAGCTTCTAGAGTTTCGAAATTGTTGCAGAGCACAAGCAAGAAGCTGGTCTGGCAAGACTGAAGCGTGCAGAAGAAGAGCTGCGGGCGAAGTAGAGAGCAAGGCACAGAAAAGGCCCAGACTCCCGGACTTATCAGACCGAGCGTTTCCTAACAAATGCTCATATGTCCATGCCCAATGCAAGTTCATGGGCGTGCCTTCCGTGGTGAAAAGAGCCTGCTTGCCTTTTGCAATGTAGACTCAGGATAGTGCTGCAAAACTGCTCTTGTGCAGTGCACCCGTCGCCGTGCAACTGCTTAGTCAATCTTCGTAGCGGTGTCACGGCCGCAGGCAAAGACAAAGCTGACATCCTCCAGAAGTGAAGAGCCCAGAACGGTAGAGGCAGACTCAGCTAGGACCTTCTGTGGCCCCAGGTGAGCCGGTGCTGGTAGACGTCCCAACAGACCTCAGAAGTTTGCCAGAGCGAGACCACGCGCAACTCGGCCGATCTCTCATGTGGACTCCTGTCAAGACTATGTGCAGGCACACATGACTTGGTGAAGATGGCGTGCGTGTGCTTCTTTGGGCCGCTTCGTGCCGTAACATGGGCTTGGTCAGCGGATTCTCCGTTTTCGGTATACAGGCTGCAGCATTTGCAAGCCACAGAAATCAATGCCAAAAGTCCGTCAAAATTCAGCAGCATCAGGATGTCGTTGTACCTCCACAATCGTTTGAAACTCAAGAGAGATCCAAACTGCTGGCAATCCCTTGGTGTAGTTTGTTCGATTGGCTGTCGGGTTCACTGCATAGGAACTGCTCTCTCAGGAAAACAAGGATCAACCAAGAAGAAGCCGAACTTCTGCAGCCGTCACTTCCGGTGAAGCCAGTTTCGAAGAGCACCTTGGGTCCATGGGGGTTTTGGGTTCTCATCTCCATGGGTACCGCAACTCCTAAGACCAAAAATCAACTGGGAAACAAGCCAGGGCCATTGGTTCTTTGTTTTCGACACTGTTGCGCGGCACCGCGGCGTCGTCGTTCTTCCGCCCCGAGCTCGCCACCGAAGCAGTGGACATACGATATAGGAAAGATCCCTTTCACAGGGAAGTCCTAGCGCTGTCTCCGACATGCACTCCTGCTGTGTGGAATGCAGACCCTGAAACTACGTTCCGAGCCATAGGGAACAAACTTCCAACGAAATCTAGGTCAAGCTTTGACTTCCCGCCTCCTGAGTCCTGGACCTCTGTCGAAGCTTGCACACAGAGGTTTTGGCAGTCCCTAAATTCAACTTAATGGTGTGAGACTGTGCTGTGGTGCCCGTTTTCAGCTTGCGGATCCAACCACAGCAACGCTGGTGCTTGGGCATTGATCCATACCGAGTCGGAGCTGCGGCCGGATTTGCCAGGCATCAGTCTTCCTGCAGGCGGAGTGGCCATCACGAGAACGCATCAAGCAAGTGCGCCGGAAGAAACTGCAATCGGATCAAACGCGGCACAAGATAAGCAACATACAGTCGGATGATCAGCACGCGAAACAGGAAAGAAACGACAGCCGCACCAAGCAAATTCACCATCAGAGAAGCGCGATAAAGCATAAGCATATCAATGCTTGCTCCTGAAAAAGCGAAAGCGGAGCCCAAGCTCGCGAAGAAGCCAAGTGTGGGGAGCGTTTCGGTTGAGGAGAAGCAGTGGCAGAGCACCGTCAGAAAGCAGAATCGAACCACAAAATACAGAAAACAGGGCCAAAGTGGCCCGAGGAAGGCAGAAAAGATGGCCACCCAACCCCCAGAGAACCCGCCCCCCGCCACACCCGCACCGCCGCGCCGCCCTAGGCACTTCGAAGGCCAGCCTGGCGTGCCCAACCCTCTCCAGGCATCCAAGCAGTGGGTTCAGAAGACATGAGCACATCGCCTTTGGAGTTCTTCATCTTCGTCCCGCTGCTAGGGTCAGAGGACTTCAAACAAAAAGAGTTTAAGAACTTGATGCTGACGAGTACGACGATGTTGCCGTTGAGACCGAAGCGCCGTCTCAATAACCGTCGCAGTCTTAAGTGCTTTCGGGACACCAATGTTCGGTATTTGTTGCGTAATCTCGCTTCTCAAGCAAGTTGCTTGGTTTGGTGGATCATGCACAGACTGGCCCAAAGAGAGATCGGAAACATGCAAGACGCTGGAAGGCAAAGAGCGAACGCCTTTGCAAGAAAGGCGAGTTCCAAAAGATCCGAAAATGCAGTGCCGTGGGAAACACAAGCAACAGGGGCAAGAACCGGAGGAGCCTCCAAGCAAGCCATGCAGGAAGGCGATCTACGAATCCAGTTCATCAGACATGGTCCCAATATCAAGTCGCGTCCGGTCTGCCTGAGAGCAGCCAAGCTCATTTCAGCCATCGAAACCGTGCAAACATAAGCTACATCACGCTGGTTTGATCGCGATGCAGGTGTGCAGGTCCGAATGCAGTCACCCGGACGATTTCGTCTGTGTAGCGACTTGCACTGGTGAAGTGGTTCTTGTCGTCAGTAGTAGCACTTGGAGAGACAGAAGAAGTGGTCGAGCGTAGTCAGACTTCACATCTACGTCTTGCCTGGCACCATGAGGAAGCACGACATATCAGCTGCGTTGGCCGTGTTGTCGCCGACCTCTTCCAGTAAGAAGGCGGCGCTGGCAACTGGGTGAGATTCCTCTACACGTGACCCATGCATCCAGGCACCGCGGAACCGACAAGGGAGCCAGCAGACGCAGGCAGCGACATAAGCGCCACAGCAGTTTCAGCAATCTGTACAAAGTGTGCTGATACGCCTGGCAGGCTGCGGGAATGGAGGGCCCCCGTCTCAATGTAGAGAGCGGAGAAGAGAGCGGACCGCACAGAAAGATGCCAAGGACGTGCTTCCGACTTTCCGAATAATCTGGAAGACAGAGTCTCCGAAGCTTCAAGCTGCTCTGCTACACTGCTACAGGTCCCGATGTGACGAACAAAATCTCTGCTGCCGACTTCGCGTCGCCGGCGACGACTGAGAGGCGGCAGGCAGGGCAAACGTAAGCGTCAACCATCCTGGCAAATCTTGGAAGCTTTGTCCAGGCATCCGGCTATGCCTGAGCCATCCTGAGCCGATGGGAGCGGAGCAAGTGCATAGAAAAATCTAGAATGTACGAATGATCAGCTTATGACCTTGCAATTTTCCGGTCCATGAGCAGTTGCCCTGGCTGGGAAGTTTCGCACTTCGAAACCTGATAAACGATAAGTTTGCAACGTTGTAAACAGGAAGACAAACCTCTGTACATACTCGAAGCCGAGAAACCGGAGCTCAAAGGGCTCACGGCAGAGTGCGGGACAGCTGCTTAAAGCAGAGTTCAGTCCTGCTGTCTGGTGGGTACTGATGCTTCTTGTGATTACCTGCTACAGTCCAAAATAAGTCAAAGCGTTGGAGGAGGGGCATACCTGTGCGATACCATACCAGTGTCATCACCATGCGCATGCTAGAGCTCGCGCATGAGTCAGTTTCGCTTGCTGGCAAACGATCGAAAATGCCCGGGCGCAAGATACTGCAGAGTAAAGCCACAGATACGGCAACCATGTGCCAAGGCAATGTCGGCAAGCCAGAACCATGTTTAAAGAAGGCACCCATCATCGAAGCAGCCTTCCATGTGCACTTTAACATTAAAGCGGAACAGTAAAGCAATGGTGCAAGCAAGTATTCATACGAGGAGCTCCGCTAGATCATCTTAAGGTGCATTAAATAAGCTGTGCCTTAGAGGCGAGTGCTCAGCAACTGCTAGACAGTATTTTTTGTCCAAGCCACTAATTGCTGACCGGTGATACCCTGAAGGGAGCCTGAACATAGCATCGTGAAAAGACTAAGAGGCAGTAGCTACGCGTGAGCCAGGATCCAGAGTTCGTGGGAGGGGAGCGAGGGAGAGAGACCGTACAACCGAGCCTTTTCTGCCCAAGAGGGTGGATGGGGATGCGCCCCGTCAAAGGGACTGCCTCTGACTCTAACCTCTAGCAAAGCAAAGAAAGAGAGAAACTTGCTGGGGATCGGGGCTCACACAGTAGCCTCACACCGACCCTCCGGACGCGAACACTGGCGTAGCGCGCCAACGCAGGGGAAGGGGAGCCACATCCCCAATCCCAAGCAAGCAAGCAAGCAAGCAAGCAAGCAAGCAAGCAAGCAAGCAAGAGAGCAAGCAAGAGAGAGAGAGAGACACCACCAGGGGAACTATATCTTTTTCCGAGCGTGACTGTTGTTGCTCCTTCAAGCATTTAAACAGGGGCGCGCTCTTCAGCGCGGGGTCTGACTCGCCCCCTGGACCCCGAAGTGAAGTGAAGTGAAGAGAGAGAGAGAGAGAGAGCGAGAGAGAGAGAGAGATAGAGATAGAGACAGAGAGAGACGTACATTTGCACAATATACAGCATGTGTATATATATATATATACACAC